ATCCTAAACCGAAATCGCTTTCTTTCATATCACGATGAAGTCCTACAAACTCATCACCTCTTTTTTTATCCCACCTAAGCGTCCCCAAGTTAGGCATGATATGAAAGTTTCTGGTGTAACATTCGTAACACGTCCAGGCCACCGAAGCTGGTGTTTCAAGATTATGAGTCCAGTTGAACTCTCGGGATTGTATTCGAACACAGTGCCTAGCCTAAGCATCACGAAAACGGTATTGTAACTGAGTATCAGTGATCTTTCAGGAAGAACGATGATCAAAAAGGGCTTCAAAGTATCCTCAACTTGAAGAAGCTAGGTTTTACAAGCGAACAGTTGAACTGGTCTCATAAGACTAACATCTCGACGGCCTCAAAGGTGGCTCAGATCGACAGGAGACACCGATTTTAATTATGTAGGTTGATATCATTGAACGCACGCCGCTAGCAGTCTCAGACCTACCCAGATATACGAACGTTTTTACTATTTCTAACGGCTCACCACGGAAAGTGAATGTCAATACAGGTTCCTTCCAGTCTAGTAAAAATAATGTATTTAGGTGTAAGGTACATGCTGTATCTACACACACTCCCAACTAAGTGCGGACTTCATACATTGAGTATAAACTTACAGTAAAACAATATCATCCTCATATTTAGGATCGAAGTCTTTCTTCAGGTAACATACCCACACCACCATTACCTACCTTTATCAAGGCTGTTAATAAGAAATGAAGAGTTCGGGGAACGCTACCTAACCCCTCTGTTTGAACGAAACAGTAGTGAGAAGCGCTTTTACTTCCATATTTCGCCTGGGGCATTTGTATAAAGAGCCTCTAACATATTATCAAGCTTCTGAGACACAATCTTCGTCGAAGCACGATCCTGGGGCTACCCGGATACCAAGGAATACGATGAATGTTTGTCTGCAATAAGTCTAGATATTTTTCATTAAACTCACGGTTACCTGGAGTAGACTCAGGCGCGTTAGAGTTGTAGGGAGCTAGTAGAAGCTCAGTGCTTACAAGAGGAACGTTTGATGGAGTCAAAAACGACAGACTGACTACTAGCCTTGAGTCTAACTCCATTTGATTTTTGGTCGCAACAAGAGCTACAGTTGACTCTCTTATATCAGTCAGTTTATGACGATGAGTTTTCCGAGCACTCAAACGAAACCTTAATCAGAGTCTAGATAAGTACTCCAGAATGAATGGTAGTCTCATACATAACCATGCCCGTTGTAGCTGATAACGATCTAAGCCCAGGGTTGAGTAAAAGAGGGAGAACGCCAGGCAGTAGATTGTCGACAAATTTCGGAAGTTGGCCTTGACCAGTGACAGGTTTTTATCTGTGCAAGGCTGCAGAAGACGGTCACCATTATCTGGTCGTAGAGTGATGAGCCTCCCTCAACCGACCAAGTGACTCTGCTCTGTACCTAGACATTCGATCTGTGAACTTGAACTTCTGGCTGGCACTAACATGTGTCGGACGCGCCTTCTTGAGATCATATAACTGGTGGTAGAACTCATCCTTGATTTTATGCGGGCTGCAATATATCCGGGGGTGGGCGGAGATAACGACACTGCATTGTTTATAACCCGATTTCATAGTTTTTTTTTAATCTAGCAGCACATAAGCGACTATTATTGGGGATCCGATCGATCAGCGATGCTTGTACAACCACAGGGTCCCCGGATAAGTGCAATAGAACAAGCTTGCGAAACGGACAAATCTGATGACAAAATAAATATCTAGTATTTGCATTTAGCATACATCGAAATTCAGAATACCCAGCGATTTGTGTCCGCTTAATACTTCATCCTAGTGTAGCATATCCAGTATTTTGTATGTATTAGTACTATCTTTATTTTCACTTCTATATTTCATTTAATGTGGATTTTCCAGCGGTAACTTAAAAGTACACCATTTTGCGTCATTCTTATCCCATTAAGTATTTTTTATATGAATTGTTTAGTGTCACTAATTCCCCACAATATGACAATTATACTTAAACAGTCCTCAGTGCCATTGCACAATTCTAGGTCTCGTTTAACAGTCGTGAAGAGAATCTTACTCTCCAAAACTTATTGTAATGGAAGATTTACTAAATTGATCCATATAATTTAACAAGTGAGATAGTATGAAGTTTTAGTCATTTTGAACAATTTATGACGTTTCTCATATGTTGATTGTGTGCTTCTACTGTTATTCCTCCTCATTTTGTTGCAAAACACTACCACCAAGCGCAGTTTTCTGTGTATTCATTTAACAGTTTGCTCAAATTAGAGTTGAATCGATCGACAGTTTGATATCCCATCGCCCTCCAGTTTTCAACTACTTCTTGAGAAACTGCTTCTACGCTATATTAAAAAAATGTCACATGATACTTTTTTTATTCACGACTATATACATAGTAGCAGGTTAGAATGACTTTTGGAGTTTCTCATAATGATCAATGTTAACACATTTGATATATTGAAGGGAGTTGAAGTAAAGTGTTCTGGAAACTGATTCTTAATCTTTCTAGTTGAAGATTCCTTTCTGAGTTGAAACGAGGTTACTAACTTACAAAGAATATAAAATTTGTTATTTGGGCACCAGATAAGTTTCAATCGTCACCTAGCTTGGTTAACCAGGAAATAATATTATAAATATTTAAGAAGACGGTTCTTGTGCATTATTAAAAAGAACGGTATACTTGAAATAAATAAATTTTGACAAACAAATGACAAAGTTTACATCCAGGTATCATCGACTAAGAATAACTAAATCTGTGAAGATCAGGTATATTAAAGTGTTTATAAGTAAATAACTGATACAAATCGTATTGTGAACAAACAATACAGAATAATGTCGATAAAGTCACTTTTAAATGTGTAATGGCTAAGGAATTTCGGCGTAAAATTTTGTAGCTTAGATATAGATGCATTTAGTCAAGATGATATTACTCGCAAATTGTGTTGTCTCACTAAAAGTGCAAATGGACAACCATCCTACGGTTTTCCTGACGGGAAACCAGCCAAGTATAGTAAGTTCTGGGTAGCAGCGAATTCTAGAAATCGTTTTTATTGGTAACGGTTATCAATTGAGCAAAGAATCGCTAGCCAGAAAATTATCACCTTAAAGTGTTTCTGTTGACAGATAATGAACATAACCCTGATGGGTTCATTACAACTTGCAGTTCACTATTACAGTGTAGCATAACAACAGAAATGTAATGCGTCTTTTCGAGAGACATGCGTTGCATTGGCTCTCTTTCCCATTTGTTACTAAAAGCTAATCACTCATTTGGTGTCAGTCTCCAAGACCCCGCAATACAACTTCATTGCTACTGGCATCCAAGATCTCGAGTTAGAGTTAGTCTCATGATGCAGTCTGTTGATATCCTCAGTGTATGCCCTAGCCCCACGCTAGCGTCTTTCCCTAATTCCTTTAAAAAGAAGCTAGCTTGTTCTTTATTATATTAAATTGTTGCTCGTGGTATTCGGCTAGCGGACATTCAGTATCTTGCGTAAACAAACAACCGTACCTTGTTTGATGGTTATAGTCGATCTTCAAGTTCCAGCTCTGTACGGTCGAACCCTCTTGCCGTTTGCAGTAAAAATCTCGACTTCGATGTTGTCTCGAGTATCATGTGTTTAGTTGCATGAATGCTACCCTCGCCTTCACATCTTTCTTATTTGTGGTGTTGCCAATTTATCTAAGACTTTGTTAAAAAAACGCTCAGTCAGTCAGCTACAACGTAGGACCAGGCACACATATGCATCGGTCCAGGTTGCCATACCTCGTTAGCACAACAAGATGAACACCGAATTCATAGTAGTTAATTCAGGGGTGGTGGTAGTATATAAAAGATAGGTTGTATATAAGGATATAGTATAGGATTTTTTATTTATTTAAACACATAAATACTGGTACAAGGAAGCACCAGATAAATATGCGCCTCACAAATCTCATTCGATTTCTGTGAGGGCTGTTATACTGCCCAGGTGCCCAGACTGAAGCAGGTGGCTTTCTTAGGGGGCCACACCCGGAGCCCTTGACCTGAATGTCTGATACACAAGGCAGCGGAGCATCGTGAGGAGATGCAGTCCCATGGTAGCCGGTGATCAACGGTTGATTCGTACGCCAATTGTTCCCTCAGGATACTGGAGCCCATGTGCACCTCTGGTTTGGAATCAGGGTTTTCCAACTTCCCTAGGTGGACCCTCCATGTCCACCAACCCGGTTAAAGCGCCGGACATTCGCTTTTCGTTCTCTCACTTTCGTAAACAACACCCCCGCCACGAGAAGGCAGTGAGTAGGACTTCCCTGGCAGAGGCTATATATTCGCTGGCCATATGAGAGCATTTCGAGAGGGAGAGGTATAGGAAGGAAGTTATGAAGCAATTATACTCTCATGGTTTAAGGGAAGATAAAGAGTGTATACACCTACGCCATTGTGATCGATTCTGAGCCATGTCACCTAGAGTCTCCAACCATTGGTTACGATGATCATGCGGACCCCAACCAATAGTCTGTACCTACCAACATGTCTCAGACTAGAAGTTAGTGACTTCATGCTGTGATGCCATGTTTTGGTTTGGCCGACCCTAACAATCTTTCAACCATCCCCAACACTAGTCAGCACAGCGCGTCGTGGTATTCGATGTTCAGGCATACGCAACACGTGACCCAGCCATCCCAGTCGATGAAGATTCATGACCTCATCAACTGATTTACCATCACTCCCTAATACCCTGTGTCTAACCCCGGTCAGTGTATGACATGGTATGAAAGCTGCAGAAGGCTAGCTTCTGTTGGTCCCTTACGACTCCCTGAAGTCTGAGAGATAGCACTACACAGTGGCTAGAGACGCTATCAGAAATGGCTCAGAATAAAAGCCAGTGGTGAGCCTGCTGCAACCTTCTTCATAAAGAGTGGCTATAACTTTCTTAACTGGGAGTTCTTCTGGATGTACATTCTAGTTCCGTCATAACTAATCTCTTTTTCATTCTTCATATATATGCATCTTCCCTCTTTCTCCTTATTTTGTGTGGCGCATATGTATTTGGTGCCCCTTGTACCAATATGTATGTGTTTAAATAAACGTGTCTGACCTCACCAACCGATATACCATCATTCCCTAATACATCGCGTCTAACCCTACTATTTCTTACACGGTGATCACAGATGATGCGAGCAATATTCCCAAAACATCTGTGGTCAAATACTAGTAACCTACGAGTATCTTCTACTCTTAATGGCCATGTGTCGCAGCCATAGAGTAGAACAGAACGAACTCGTCTGTTACTTGATAGACGGATATCTCGTCTTCGCCATAGGTGACGTAAGTTGGCAAAAGCCAAATAAGCTTTTTGAATCCGTTAAGAGATTTCGTCAGACACCAACCCATTAGGGCTAATCAGACTTCCAAGATAAGTTGTCGACTACTTCACTCCCTATTCTTAGTTCAGGGGTTGACGCAGGCCAGTCCTGGATTAACAATCTACATTTAGATGGGGAGAAACGCGTCCCAAACAACCCGGCATTACTCAGTTCTAACAGAAGACTCTGCATTTTGTCAGCGTCTTCACCAAACAGGACTATGTCATCTGCATATTCTAAGTTGCTTAGTGGACCTCCTGGTAGAAGATCAATTCCTGAAATTCAGTCGAGGATAGTGTTATTTCTATAACGTCAAAAACAAACTTGTGGGGAGAATCCAAATCGTAGCTTAATCCTGATATAGGCTGGTCCTTGTTTGTCGCATGCTTAGGTCCTAGTTAGTTGACCTATAAACACTTTCTGCATCATCATAGGTTAGGTGAAATAATCTCGACCACCAATCCTCCGTTATAATAAACACAGACCTTATCACGAACCACCCAATGACGACTTTTCTGCTAGTTGGACTTAATAGTACAGTAATACTTCGTGAAACGACAAGACTAAATGTACCCGTCCACTTTTTGTCAACGCTCTGGTGTGTGCCACCGGAGAATTCGCAACGTGTCATCATTAGGACCAACTTTCTTTCAAAAATGACGGAGCATGAATTTACCCGCATCGCTTCTGACGATCGATCTAGTAAGGACAGCCATGGTCGCTCGTAAGTGTTTTGAAAATGCGAGGGCCTGATGGCGTCTATAATACGACAAATACTAATAGAATAACAGTCATACTTCTGAAAGACTAACAATACTATGCACTGTTGGATATTGCAAAAACGTTTATTTTTCTGAGGACAGAATACGAGCCTAATGCTGACGCACCTTCACGGACGATGGCAGTACTCAACACCCGTGGATAAGGGCACTGAACAAATTAAGTAGGAATGTAAAGATTGAACTTCCAAGCAAATTTACCCAGCCAACCTTGAACACATAAAAGCAACTTTTATTCTACCAAGAACCTTTATTTAATTAATTATTTGAAACTCAAACAAAACACCATTGGTCAGCTTCCTGGGTAATAACAACAGCCAAGAGCAAGCGAATGAGGGCAACACTGACCACATACAGAATATGGGGTGGGTGGCGAGTAGATCCAAAACACTCCTCAAAGCCATCATTTGGATGCTACAAAGCCACAGGGGACTTTCAAAGCGACACGGATGGCAAACATTCATTAATATCATGAACATATAAGCTAACTGTACATTTGGGATATAATACAGGGGAACGGGGAGTTCTGGTTAGGGTTAATTATAATAACAAAAAATAAACATTTGAAAAAACAAATCCCAACTGAAAAGGACAGATGGGAAAAATTAAACTATACAGCATATCACGAGTGGGAATGGATTCATTGAAGCTGCGAAGAAAATAATAGGGATAACCTAAACTCAAAAAATTAGGGATTCTAAAGTGGCGAGCATCTTAGGTAAATGCCCAGAAGTCACCGGGAAGTCATATGTATTAATGATTGTTTACAACCTCATCCTTGTTGCCTGAAGGCAACCCACGACCATTAAACAGCGCCTCTCTTGTCATTGGATCCAAATTATTTTCATTTTGGTACTCCGCAACATATAACCGCTTGTCGATTTCTTTAGGAATTGGTTTGATTTCAGTAACCAGTTCTGTTTCCACTGTTTTTAATGAATATCTGAAGGTGAGCTAAATATAAGTAGAGGACTTACCTATCGGCATACGTAACCAAGTTTATGGCAATGCCCAAATGACCAAAACGACCAGATCTACCAATACGATGCAAATACGTTTCAGAATATTTTGGGAAGTCAAAATTTATAACAACATTCACAGTCGGAATGTCAATTCCACGAGTCAAAAGGTCTGTACAAACAAGGTTGCGGCAGCAACCATTCCGAAAATCATGAAAGACTCTGTTGCGGTCCTGCTGAGACATCCGTGCATGTATATAATAACAGGAATATCCCAACTGGGTGATTTTTTTGGCAAGAAGTTCGACTCGTTGTGCTGAACTACAGAAAATTATGGACTGGCTGATCTGTAGTTTGGAAAACAATGTATTCAAGCAGTGTACCTAAGTAACTTATGAGGAACATTTATAACGACCTACCTTATGTTTTTCCTGTACATATGCATAATATTCAGTAATTCCTTTCAACGTTAATGTCTCCATTAAATTTATTTGGTAGGGATTGCGCAAATGCTGATTCATAAATGACTGAACTGTAACTGGGTACGTTGCTGAGTAAACAAGAACTTGGCGACTTTTATCCACACCATTGAGAATCTCTTCGACTCCACTTATGAGCTCCTCAGACAGCAGTTTGTCTGCTTCATCAAGAACAACAATTTTACACTTGGATATGTCAATGAGTCCCCTGCTTAGTAAGTCTACTAAACGACCAGGAGTGCCGATTAAAACATGAACGGTTTGACTTAGCCTTATCAAATCGTCTTTAAGCAGTGTTCCACCAATTACCAGCATGATTTTAATAGCCGTATGTTTGGCAAGTTCTATACAGATCTGGCTAGTTTGAAGTGCAAGTTCTCGAGTGGGTACCAAAATAATAGCCTGAATTTTGTTGATTGTAGTATCGATTGATTCAAGGACAGGGACTGAATAAGCTCCAGTTTTGCCAGTGCCATTCTTGGCTCTTGCCATTATATCTCTGTGCGTCAGCGCTATTGGTATGCTGGATTCTTGAATAGGGGACGGGGACTCCCAACCTTTTTCGTATATTCCCTTCAAGATATCTCTCTTCAAACAAAAGTCTTCAAAGCTGCTTCCCTTCAAAGCAGTTACATCAGCCGTCTTAATACGCATGTCCTTCTCCGGAAGCTTAAGAGTTGACTTCCAGTCATCGTTTGCAGTATTGTCACTGCCTTTCAATGCCAATGCAGACATCAGTAATGATAAAAAGTTCCTACATAACATGATACAAATTACGCTACGATTATTAAGAACATACTTGGAGCCTGAGAAATAATCTTGTAGACCAGATTTTTTCAATAGCAGAACGGCGCCGGATGTACAGATATAGTCCGCATTCATCCAAACACATTTCAAAGTTACAGTTTCAATATATAAAAAATCGGTTAGTAATCAAAGTTTATTAACAATCTTAGTTGAACCAAATAAATTAGTATAGTTGAGCAAACACTAGATCTTATAAAGCCGTTTGACAAAGAAATGTTTCCAAGTTTACATCTCATGTACAACTTTATCTACAAAATTGTATCCAGCACTGAAATTATGACTAAATGAATGTGTTATTACCCTTCAGAGTGTTGAAAACCCAAATACTAAGCTGGTAACTAAACTTTTAAATCACACTTATGAGCAGTGACTGAAATGTTTTATTTTTTCAGTAGTACTAAAGGTAGATTATCTGACTTTTATTCATTCTTTCAGTCCATTTTCCGGTGAATACCTAGCTTCCATTTTGATATCGTTGACTTTTATGGCTAATAACAAATTCTCAGGAGGGGCTTTACAGTCACTAACCGCTGTGAGTTTGTTCAATCCTATTTATTCTGAACTTTCTAGCTGTTGCCTCAGAGACGATTAGTTCTAGAGGCAAAAGAAAGAAAAGACATATTAAAACTAAAATAATTATTTTAGAGCCACTGACTTCTATGGGGCCATCTCACGTTCTACAATAAGATAGGGGAGGTTTCGACTTTTGCCTTGAGTGTGTTGCGTAGGCACTGTCACTAGCTTTGTTGCTATACGCGGCCACGTTGGAGTTTGATGGGATCCTTATTAAAAACAGACTAGCTGCCTGAATGAAATACTTTAACTGAGGTCTCACATAGGTAATGTAGCGGTAAATAAATCACCAAAATCAATAGCTCTGTAAGTTCTTGACATTGGATGCTGACCACATTATTTTTGATGGACTCACCTAGCTAAAGCCTCTCGGTCATGCATCCGCACCAGATCATGAGTCGAAATGCCGTGCTCAACTTCTCCTGCGATCAGTAGCCAGTTCAGATTAATAACTTTCCACATCTTGATAATCTTTCCAAAATATATATTCCAACCTCCTTGCTTCTGACTTGATTTACTGGGTGGGCACGATTCAATTATAGGTGTTGCTGGTAAAGTGTTGCCAAACCACAATATTTGTGACTTTGAAAGGCTTTGACTGCTGCAGCGTAGCAATGCAAAATTATTTTTAAGTAGGGACACACAACTGTTTACAAGCCTTATTGTTCCTGCTCGACAGAAAGTGATGTATCGTTGATAACATATTGACGATAATTCTCGAGTCCACTGTGCAGTAGCACACACTTTCTAGGAATAATTCCCCAACCACAAATTTCGTATGATCTGACTAAATTTATAGATCACATAAGAGATCAAGATAGTTAACCTTTGTTTATTGTTCAATCGATTTTCACACTATTTGTTAACAACGGTGTCGGCGACTCAGGCAGGCTTGGAAATGGATTAGTGTTAAGACGAAGGTATGTGTATTTTGAAGTGGTGTTGTGGGATATACAGTTTTTAACCGCCTTCGATTCATTTGGTGTTTAATTCTCCATCACATTCTGTTTCTACTTATAGATTAGGTCTTCTATTCCCTTTGCATAATACTGCTACTTTTAAGACAAATAGCTGCATAATTCGTAAGTGACGCACTCTGTGTGTACTTTGCTAAAATACATAAATATCACGCTGACAGACTAAATGCTATTTTGAACTTTTCTCTCAACTAGAAAGCTAGTTAAGCGTAAGTGTTTATTCCGAAACCTGATTTGATTAAATCTGTTTCGCTAACTTATCGTTGAGTTAGAGATCATATATTAGCGCTGCGTATACTGGATAATGAGTTGGATGTCAAGTTCTCGTTTTTCATGAGTCCATCTAAAGCTTTTCGTTCATTAGCCAATCACAGAGATTATAAACAGAGACCAGATAAACATACATTGGAACCCTGCATTTCTCACCAATCCATGAACGACTGGATCTTCCTACCTGGACATGTAGTAATAGTATCGCCAATGAACGGTAGTTTTTTAGTGTCGCTGTAGTATCTAATCTTTCAGTATACTGAAGATCCCAAATTCAATAATTCATGCCTCATTTCGCCCTTCGTAAAATACCATAATTTGGTACTTAAGACTATAGAGTCTGACGATGAAGTTACTGAAAACAATGGTCCGCTCAAATATTCTTTCTGTTTTTTGGATAACATGTTGCTCCTTTTCACTCTTTAATTTTTTTTTGTAGATGTCTTTCACCAGCGTGTTTTTAACTAGAATTCATGTTGCTCAAACCTGCAGTTTTTTAACTGTCCCCCATATTCATCCCTTCAGCACCGCACAAGATATAAACTTTCTATCTTAGCTTCCGGTAGCTAGTTACACTACGGAAAGTCACACTGACAGTTTTGTAACCTCAACGCTTAGGCGAACTAACGGAAATGAAAATTTCAGCGACTCTACTTACTAGACGTATGTGCTCTAATACTTACTTTAGTTACTTTCATATTATTGAAAAAACTGAATCATGTGACAATCAAATATAGTAAAAATGTGTTGGAGTTAGTGTCTGATTTGAACAGCCACTTTACGCAAAACAACTGACTGTAACTAATGAAATCTACAAACCCCACATAAAAGTATGTAGACTGATAAGACCCATCTAAAAATAATGATTAACGACACGGCTTGAATAATGAAGGTTACAATAAATGGTTAACAGCACAACTAATGAGGCCAAATATAGCATCAAACCTTCGTTCGCTAACATTTTTCACTGACGGTCTACTTAAAAACAACCAAAACAGTGACCAAGTGTTTTACAATCTAGAATATCACATCGAGATGCAACCCACGTGTCCGGTATAACGCAGGTTGACATGGTAGACAGAAATTGGTCATGGTGAAATCTAGTTTTTTGAAAAAATGTATGTTATAATGTCTACATAATTAACTATATGAGCGTAACCATGACGGTTATTCCAGTGTATGACTTATTTATTTGAAGTGGCGAGGTTGAGCATATTTCCACTACATCTAGTCTGTTGCTTAAATTACACATCCGAAAAACGCAGCTAAAACAGGTAGTAAACTGTCTGATCGATTTGAGAACTCTAGTGAACACATCTGATAGTAAGAATGTTGATCCTTCAGGATTACTGTTTGGTGGAAATCTGATTTATCAGAATAGAATGATACGGTCCAAATTTCTCAGAAGTATTTTTGATTCTTTTTTCCACTACTTATTCGGGTTTTTTTGTCTGTTGATAAAATAGCTATAAATTCACTCCAGAAAGTGAATGACGTCACGAGGCTCCGCAACTTTTACAAGAATCTCAACTACTACTGTGCTTACCAGCAGAGTATCCCAAGAAAGTTTCGCATACAGTGCAACTGACACTCTAACTTCCAGAAACCGAAATTCCAGTTCGATGTTCTTTTGTCACTCATACACATAGTTTACAGAGGAGGGCATCGTACATTTTAAAAGTTAAATTAAGCGTTCACATGCGGAGAATTTGTGTAAAGATATGTAGACCACCAATGTAAGTGATCTAAGTGCATGGCTTGTGACTTGTTCCAGTTGAAAGGTAATGGAGTTACCCCTAAGCTTACCTCGTAATTATACATGCTGGTACCCAACATGTATAGTCCTTCGGTCGAACCAAAGTACTGTGGCTACTTTGGTAGCAGTATAGCTAAAAAACTTACTTCATGACAGAAATGTATCAGTAAGAATCGATACAAGAAACAAAGGACGGCTGCTGTTGCATGTGCCTGTCCATAGCGTGTAAGTGACTGACGAGCATAGGTTTTCCTTGAATTCGATGAGGATCGGTAAGTTGTTCAATACCATCGACCTGCTTGCCGGTTGGCCTAGCTAATCCACAGTAACATTTCACCAGCGCTATAGATATTCCGGATACAGAGGAATCGGACAATACCAGAAACCAAGCACGTCAATGAGCTTGGAACGTCGGGACAACGGACGTTCGTTCATTCTCATCGAAACTGAATTTGTAACGCTTGTTTGTCCATGTTCGTTGAGCTGTTTACCCTGAGTTCGTGGCTAGGCCTATCATGGCTGAGGCAGGACAAAAGAAACAACAACATGAAGTACCGATAGTATTTATTGTTATCAACAACTTGTATTGTTGTGAACAGAACACGACTGGGGACAATCGAATGTATTTAAGCAAAAATTACAGACTATCTCAGTAAATTCTAATAACCAAACAATGAACAGTCAATTTGCAAATTAACAACCAATTGTTTCAATCTTCACTGTTTCTTCTCTTATTCTATTGCTCATGCATTTTCCAAACGATTGCGCTTCATTTCAGTTCTTTCCTCGTCGGTCTTCTGCCAAAATACACTCTATGTCTGACCCACACCATATACTACTTACATGGATATAAGTAGACCACACCACAGTATGCCTTCTATAAACTTATGTATTAACTTGCAATGGATTGTGGCCTGTGTTTACAGATAATGGAGTTGCTGTGAGACCATAAACTATGGAGGAGCCAATCAGAAGCGTTTAAAGGGTTTCAATGTCACGGAACCAATTTTAGTGCCTGATGCTCACGTACGAACGGTTCACAGAAGATTTGGGACAAGATGTTACAACTAAGCGGCAAAAACAAACGAGCCGACTAAGAAGTTCTTTTATTTCTGATTGCGGTATTCATATGACTTGTGAAGACTACCGTGATGATGTTGACTTTCGATGTAATATATGTTGGAGGAAGAAGTCTGCTAGAATAAGAACCTGCGATGTTTCCTGAGAACTGGATAATGAAAGCACCAGTAACACTGGCTGCAACAATTGCAGATGTCACCAAAGCCTTGACTGTTCACTGTTATGAGTATCGTAGAAATATATGCGCGAAGAAAATGACAAGTTTACACGAGTAGTTTGGAATGGGCGAAGCAGTTGTCAGAAAACGAAAATTCAAAAGGTGAAGTAGTGATAAAGAAGACTGGGCAGGTGGCACTTCCATACATAAATCTCATAGGTCCTTGGAATATACGATAGGTCATCCTAAAAGTCTGATTAGCGCTTTTTAACATCGGTTTATGGGAAAATACTCGTGGTGTTCATCTAAGCTATCATTTTCAAATAGGTTAACTAGCTAGGAGACACAGTTCGATTAATGAAAATTCCGTGTTTTGATTTAAGTAGTGGCTTTTCTAGTTTTTTTATTAGACCACTATTTGCTGACGAGCCATCTTATAATCTGCTGCAAACCGTTTCTGGCAGGATGTAATTAACCTGTTCGTTTGGAGTCTAGCTACCCAAAACCGGGATTACCTAGTAATAAACTTCTGCGCCCTTCCTCATTTTCCGGAATCATTGGGAAACAATACCAGGACTATTAGAAAAGCGTGTGCTTCTACTTTGAAAAATAAATACCGTTATTATTTTTGATGTATTTGTAAAAGGTAAATTATGAAGTCAATCATTTTGAACGATCAAGGACCTTGAATAGTGAGATCTATAAAATAACAATGGAAGCCTAACATCAGGTGACCTATGTTCTTAGTCAGTAAGAAAGGCGAAATCTAAAACAAACGGCAGACAACATTGAAAAGAACTCCAACGAACCAAGCTACTCCTCTTGGAAAAACGTTCCTTTAAATTTGAGAGTGATGAAGCTACCAAAAGTGATCTGGGAAACCATGCTTCAAATTTATTGTTTTAATTAAAAAAAATAGTGTTCAGAATGATCCAGGTTGCAGTATGTACATATTTACACTTGAGAGACGCTCAGTATGAATTTTGGGTACGCCACATGTAAAAATGAAGCATTCGGTCAGTAAGTAATGTTAAACAATGACTTTGAGTCGATGCGAAAAAGATTGGACATACATCCAAGATAGGACTATCAGCAGTGGTTTCAGGAGGTTGTAAGACTTGCATTTGTGTGCCATCAGAGCACCTCCATATTAAAGCACCATTGACATCTTCATTGCCAGCAACAGCAATAAGTCCTAAAACCCAAAGTTATAACAGGTTATGAATGTAAAATAAATATAATTTTAACAGTTGAATTCATGAGTTGACTTAAGTTAGGTCAGCGGAGTCCAATCCAGGCCGGGTGAGAGACAATTACCCATCGAAGACAATGGATGAAGGGTTGCTCAAGATCATGGATCGACTAAAGTTAGACAATATTTTTGGATGCCGACTCAATGGTCTAGAGGTAAAGCGTTCGCGTGCGGGACCGAAGGTCCTGTATTCTAGTCCCACATGCAGGTTTGTGGTTGCTCACTTCTGGAGAGTCGTACGCTAAAGCGAAACGGCCGTCTGAAGCTTCCAGGTTTTCAATCGTTTATCTAAGATCAACACATGAACTTAAGAATTAAAATTAATAAAATCACCACAAATATTCTTTCTGAAAATAAATATATGATTGAGAACTCAGTAAAAGTTATTATTTGGTGACATATGAGAGTTGGAATGATTTTTAAAAATGTTTCAATGAAGTTACAAAGTCTTAATTCATTTGAATAACAGAAAAATTGATTTTTCACAGCTACATAAGGTGATGTTAGAACATACTTCCACATCTGTAGAAATGCAATTCACAAGTTTGTTGGGTAAACACTAATGAATGTCTTGCTTATTTACATACACCTGTTACTTCTTGTGGAGAAGCATGGGCCGCCCACAAGTACTGTACATCAAACCCTGTCCTAGGCAATCCTTTCGAAATGCCATTCATCTTTTTCATGTCTCCTCCCAATTCTCGACTCAATACGTTCTTTGACCTTCCTCTTTTCCGTTTCCCTTCAGAATTCCATATTGAGGACAGCCTCGTGATGCGTTTTGGTGATCTCTGTAATGCACGTTCTATTCACCTGCAGCGTCTAATTTCTTCTTCAGCTAGAAGTTAGTCTGTTTTCTGTAACAGTAGGCTGTCGCTGATGGTTTCCCACCAACAGACATTTAGTTTCTCGAGTAGACAATTGTTTATAAATACTTCAACCTTTTTGATGGTCGTAGTTTTAGCGTCGTACAATCGAGGTTGATGTATAGTGACGAGTTCCATTCCATTGATTATTCAACGACGATCTGTAGTGTTGCGATTTGGTATGTGCAAAACTGATCTCCACGGAACCCAGCTTGTTGATCTCGAAGTTGGGAGTCGACTGAGTTTTTCACCAGGTTCAGCAACACTGTAGAAAAGTTTTCCTGGTACCGATAGTAAAGTGATGTCGCTGTGGTTCTCACGTTTGCTCAGATCTCATTTCTCTGGCACCTTCATGAGATGTCCTTCTTTCCAGTCTGTCAGTAGCACTTGTCATTTCTCCCAAATCTTCCCGAAAAGAACGTGGAACATGTTAGCAGTTGCTTCCATGTTTGGTTTCAGCTGATATATAGTCAGGTCCTGCTGCTTTTCCACTGTTGGTTTGTTTGATGGCCATCCTGATTTCTTCCGTCGTTGGTGGAGTGACATCTATAGGTGTTGCCTCGATGTCCGGTGGCTTCAATCGAGCCAGCTAATCCAACAGTTCCCAGAAGTATTCTACCTATCTTTTCCTCTGTCCTTGAGTCTCCGTGATTGTCTCCCCTTCTTCAACTTTGACCGGTCAGTCTGGTCTACTATATTTTCCTGGTAGTTTCTTCATTGTATCACATAGTTGTTTTATACTTCCTTCTCTTGAAGCTTTTTTCACTGTCGCTGCTAGTTCTTCTACGTATTTATGCTTGTCGGCTTCAATGCTCTTCTTCACTCCCTTGTTTGCTTCTGCGTACTTTGTTTGTCTTGACACATTCTGCTCTTGTTCAACTGTTGTTAAATGCTGTCTTCTTGTTCTTCCTTTCTTGAATCTTGTCCAGCGTTCCCATAAATATCCATTCCTTATGATGATGCTTTTTGAAGCTCAACACCTCTTGATGCGTTGAAGTTAGTGCTTCTTTCATGTCTTTCCAGTTGTCCTCCATTGTACATTTTTCTTCCTTCAACAGATCTTGTAAAGGACTGGACCTGTTGTTGAGAGTTATCTTGAATTCATTGAGTTTGTCAGTATCTTGAATAAAGGCTATATCGAACCTTCCATTGACCCTGCGAATTTTTTAGTGGTGCAAATATGTTCGGTTTGGTTCCCCGTGTTGTAGTCAGGTGAGACGAATGTAGCTTTGTGTAAGCGTTTGCGGGTGGATATTATGTTGCCTGTATTTATTTTGTTGGATGCATATAAATTCGCGAATCTGTCATCATTCTCGTCCTTTTCTCCAAGTCAGTCGATGTCGTCCCATGACATTTTCATACTTGTTGATGACCTTGCAAAATAACGTTTTGATGCAATGAGAACTGCTATTGTAGGGTAGATGAGACCTAATATTTCACTTAAGGAGTTGGATTCGAACTTCGGGTACGAAATACAAGATGTTTCAGGATATTTACTTCTCACTTTGTGAAAGCTTACTGTTCGTCTCAAAACTAATCGTTTCTCATCTCAAAGTGACGTAATGTTAGATTGTTTGAAGACATATCTTTGCCAACAGTAAATATATATATATATATAAAGTATACGAATCAGTCATCAGAATAGCTAGTGACTAACGAATTGTTAGTCGGTCACACAGATTTTATGGTTGCATTTCGATGTAGGGAAAATAATGCCTAACAACATTTGAAATGAATATTCACCAATCGTTGAAAATAAAATAAAGCATTTCGAGATAACCGGTATCCATCTTAAATGAAAGATTGTTGTTAAACATGTCAAAATAATACGACTAGCTGTGGTAAATTTTTGTTTTAATGATTTCCCTTCATTTTTTTCATATTACTGGCGACGGTTAGATTTATAGTTTAATAATTAGTAGGGCTCGTTTCATATATGATTTTATTTTTCTTAACTACAAACTCATAGGATAGTTGATTTTTAAACGTTGGTGGCCATATTATGCGTATAATTGAGAGTGAGGGGTTAATGCATAGTTTGCATAAACATCTTGTTTGTGTTGACTGGTTTATAAAACTATTATTATTTGAGCACATAAAAATTGGTACAAAGGGACACCAACATTACATATGATTTGTGTGAGGACTGCCTGGGTGCTCAAACCGAGGTAGATGGTTTTCTTAGGGGACCACACCCGGAACCTTTGACCTAAAGGTCTAACCCACAAGGCAGTAGTGCAACGTCAGGAGATGCAGTTCCATGGTAGCCGGTGACCAACAATTGGTTTACACGCCATTTGTTCTTTCAGGATACTGGAGTCCATGTGCACCAATGGGTTGGAATCAGGGTTTTCCAACTCCCCTAGATGGACTCGCCTTGTCCACCAACCCGGTTACAGCGCCGGACATTCGCTTTTGGTCCTCTCAATTTCGCAAACAACAGTAATGCCACGAGAAGGCAGTTAGTAGGACTTCCCTGGTACAGGCTATATACGCGCGGCCATGTGAGAGGATTTGAAGAGCGAGAGCGAACCTTTCTCAACCTCTACCGCACCAGGGCATTTGGAGGCGGTTCATAAAATGAGATTGTGTGATTTATTTTCAGAGGATTTCACTACCTTCTTTGAATACTAGATGTCATAAGTGACTGTTAGGTTAATCTTTGTTTGCATGAATTAATGTGTAGCTAACGGACAATTTATTGGCGTCCACACGGTGGATGAAAAGAAATTTCGCGACAAAGTACTTGTAGCATTAGGATATAACAAGGATAGATATGTTTTTCTGATACTTTGGAATGTAACACGGAATGATCAAAACTATTTGAAAACAACTGTTACCTCGTATGCAACTAATAAGTTTTAGTATGATTTCAATGTAAAATGCGGTTACTTTAATTTAACATACTCTCTTTTATAACAGAAGAGATCTGATACTTGGATGAATCATACAACTAGTGATCATGAAGAGTGGAGTTACAAGGGTCAGAACAATATATTTAACGCTAATCTGCATTTATTCGTAAATAAAACATATTCTCAAAAGTCAAATAGACAGATAACTTAAGACACTGATTAATATGTACTGAATTAAGTTCAACAAGCTGCACTAACGATTATATCCAAGTAGGTGGCTGTGCTCATAAGAGATTAGATTACTTAGTTTTTATTATTAAATGCTAGTTTTTGCTCTAAACGATAACCTTGATGTTTATTTCAAATGATATTCCCGCAATGACATTTTCTATTATCTGAATGGTTGTTGTCGCTCTTGGCCTACTTCGATCTGTGCCTATAGGACGTTACCATAGAAACAGAGATTTTTCTAATTTTTGACTTCCGTAAGGAATATAAAGTTTTTCTATAGGTACCATCTTCCCTTTTATTGAATAGATGCTTAACATTAATGTGTTGCTGTGTAGAAAACATCTGGTCCATTTAAGTTTCCATTCGTAGGGTCGCATCAGAAGAAACCCCGATCGTTTATAAATAGCATTTAACATAAAGTCCCAGCACGTTAGCCATTTTTGTTAAGACATAACACTAAGTGGCAGTTTCAGACTGGCTTAACATATAATAAACTGAATAAATTTCTACCTAAAGAAAGCTTAGTCACAAACCTGATTCTTTTGAAGGTCCAACAAATAGTTTAGCACGAGTCAGCTTTTTCATCCGATTTCCTGCCCAAAGATTGTGTATTTCTCTACAGGAGTAAGCCGTTTCTGCTACAGGTGAGGTTTCAGATTGTAATTCTGCCAACAAATGTCTTACACGAGGTAATCGTTGCGATGGTCTGTAGGAGGCTAAAAACTGACGTCCTTGTGGAAGTGCACTTAATGAAACTAAACTGCCTTCTAGAGGAAGATTATGGGGTTTATAAGAAGGTATATTTCCTAGCCAATTCGATGGACGAAGAGTGCTATTATCTTGAAGAATATCAGGCGAAGCGGGAGTTTCTGAATCATCGGTTGAAGCAATGCCATCAGCAGATTCTATTCGTTCTTGGTTAGTTGTTCGCTGTATAGCTATAGGATTTTCAGGACTCTCAGACATAAATGTGACCTATAAATAAAACCAAATGTGGACACAATAAACTCATTGATAGAAGACTGTAGTAATTTGTGGAGAATTACCTTTAGCTAATATAAAATGACAATTCCATAAAGTGACTAATCATGAAACAATGTATTGTACTGAAGCATACAAATCCAACAGATAACTGAATTTTATATAAAACTCATCAATTAGGTTACTTATTGAAATAGTTGATTAAGTGATAAGATTAAACACTAGGTGTTGACAGATCATTCATAAAAACCAAAGTAACTAGTATTTTTATTATAATGGATTACATCTAACGATAAAAAATTGACTTTCGAAGGTAATTTTGCTACTTAGATTTAATCTACTTATTGATAGCTAAGTAGTCGAGTACTATTAATCACCAATCGCACAAGAGATATGACTAAAACAAAAATTAAACATGTGAGTGTTATGGAATAAATGTGGTTGGTAATTAAATGCTGTAATCGCTAGAAAAACAGAGGTGCTAACTGATAAGTAGAAAATAATTTTGGAATAAAGTAAAGAGTGAGTACAAACTAATTGCAAGTTCATGAGTATCAGGCATCGGGAAATATAAAACCTGTAGCTATGATCAGTAAATAATCTTGTTAACAAAGCACACTGAAATTCACTACAGCTGCTAAAAATACATAGGAATACTGTGTAACTATTTTTTTGCAGATAGCTACAAAGTGATTCACAAAGTTTTGCATTATGGATGAATTTTTCCTGTATGAAACCAACAAGTTTAAGATCACATTTTTCTCTAAAACTACATTTTTATTGTGGGGAAATTCTCGATGCAGCACGTCACTAAAAAAGTGCTTTAAACAAAATGAAATAACAAAATAAGATGTGAAGAAACATAATAAACGATAATGATGAAGAAACGAGCACTGTAAAAAGATTAATCACCTCATGAATAATAAATAAAATTTGGGTCACTAATACACTTCATGGTGTGAAAGCGAGGATGAAAATAAAGCCATAGGATCAGATCTTATTTTAATTTTGATGAAACATGAGTGGTCTTTTAAAAAATCTGCATTCTATAATCGGTTATTAGTTGAATTATAACTAAATATACTTATATTTGTGTGAATATTTTGTATATGAATGTTTAACTTTTATCAATACAAAACATTTTGTTTGAGAGTCAGTTATATTGTCAGTTGATTTCGGTTCAATAGGGATGTTTTTTCCAGCGATTCAGTCCTTTGGATAGCTATCAGTGGATAAGATTACGAATTCCCTAAAGAACAACATTCGATTTATTAATTTATAAGACAACCTATCATGTCTGTCAAAAATTACACTAAAAAAGTCTTGTCATTAAAAGAAAATAACATTTTATGGTATAAGGTGGGGATTGGCTTGTTGTATGCTGCATGCACAAAATATTTCAATAATTAATAAATATACAGGAGAAACAAAAGTGATTAGCCGATATCATTTAAATAATTTAAGATGGAAAGAAAATTAGTATTCCAGTCGATACTTTGTAATTGAACAAAATTTATTGACAATATGATGTTGATAAGTATAGACAAATATATACCATAACAACTAAATAAGCGATTTATTTAACGTCTTTTTTAAAAAGTAAGGGAATTAATTCAGTACTAAGAACAAATAATTAAAGTTTATTTGATAAGTAAAAAATTTGACTTGAATACTGTTATCCGCCCTTTTTTATGATTATTAAGTGTCAATTCATTTCAAATGACTATGAGCCGAAATTCCGGACACATGTCTACTTCGTATGATTTTCTTTAGATGGTAGACTTAATTCAAGTAAAGGTACATTTTATTTACAGAGTAATACACGATTAATGGGGAACAAAACCATAATAAAGTGAGGTATTTTTCTTTTTGTATACAACTCTATTGGGATACACATTAAGGATCAGGTGTAATAAGTATAAAGAATACATATCTTCAGCATAATATGTGCAACTAAAGATACTGGATATTAAAATGGAAATTTATCAGCGAAATATTAATAAAGTCAAGAACTCTATATTGGTTGTATTGAAACACAATTACTGAGAGAACCAGAATGAAGCTAGGGATATGAGATAGATGTGCGAATTTCTGCAGCATTTTCTGGATATCATTTCATTCAGAAGAGTTTGGTTAATTTACAGGGAGTTTCGTGGGCTCGGTACATAAATTCAGCTTGAATTTGAAAATAAGTTCCATGTAAATTATTTGGCTTGTACATCTCAGATTTGTAAAAATCATTAATCTTAGTAATAATATAACTCTAGATTTCTGGATTATTTAATATCTTCAATCCAACTCAAATTATCATTCAATTTAACCCCTGAATTAAGTGTATCGATTTAAATTTGTTTGCTTGATAACACTTCTATGAAGAAAGTTAATACCTAATAATTGTTTTACAGAAGGCTTCTTCATGCAATACTTTGAATAAATTTAAATGACTTACTTTATTCAACTGACCGACTAATAAACCTCCAGCACTGGAAATATTTTGATCCACAGAAGGTGATAAATACTGCAATCCCAAGACCGGTGCATCGTTATTTGGTACATAGAAAACATCTAATGGACCGGTAGTCACACGTATATCATATAACATAATTGAACCATTTGCACAGCCAGCGAATAAACGATTCGAATCTCCAGCCCAACAACAACTCCATATTCCCACTGGACAATGGTAAGTTTGAACAATCTGAAGTTAGTGAAAATAAAACGTTGTTTATCCATAGATTTGAAAAAGTTGAAACATTGTAAGCAGTGATACTCAGCAAAATGAATATGTGAACACATTTATTACAATACTACCTTTACATTATAAAGAGATACTAGTTTATCCAGAATCAAAATAATATGATCAGAGTTTGCATTATTTTATAAGATTGTTTGAAAATTTTAGAAATGTTAAACTCCCAAGTATGACTGGAGGTGGGGGCGCCAGGAGGGAGCTTTACTTTACCTTTTGAAATGATTGCATACGAACGTGTGTCTACACTCCGTTTCATTTAAGAAACATTTATTCTACATCAATGATGAATATTGATCTTTCGGGATCCTGAAGAAATTAATGGCATATGAACCTAACTGAACTTCGGTTACAGTGAAAAGGCAACTTTAACATTGGTAAGCAGAGATGGGTAGTGGCTAGCAGTGGAATCCAGGACGCGCGTTTCGTCGTATTTGGGACTCGTCAGTTGGATGTACCTTCATCCCAGAGTTGATGTTCACTCTGGTACTCAAACCCAGTTCCGTCGCTTCAAACTCCATCGCGTTATCCACTCGGCCACTGAGTCCTGACAGAGACTGACCAGTTGCAGTCCTAACAAATCGATGGGAAGACTCAAACAAATAATACTGAATGAATTTAAACTTCACCCCATTCCACAAGCATGTGGCTAGCAGGACTCAGTGGCCGAGTGGATAACGCGATGGAGTTTGAAGCGAGGGTACTGGGTTCGAGTCCCAGAGTGAACATCAACTCTGAGATGAAGGTACATCCAGCTGACGAGTCCCAAATACGACGAAACGCGCGTCCTGGATTCCACTGCTAGCCACTACCCATCTCTGCTTACCATGCTTGTGAATTAAGGCTATATCGAAGCAATACGCACAGCATGCACATATGTCAATTAGAGGCTGACCAGTTGCAGCCCTAACAAATTGATGGGAAGATTCAAACAAACAATACTGAATGAATTTAAACTTTAACATTGTTTCCCTGTCATAAATATTACATACTATAGTCGAAGGTCCAGGTGCGATGACTCTTTGCGAAAATCCATAGAATTCTATTGGTACTAAGAACTAGATAAACATGAAGCAATGATGGAGTTGTATTTGTTTTTCATATTCTTTTAAATCTTGAATAAAGTATCACTTCTAACTTGTCAGTCTTCGACCTCATTTGCATTGTATTTCTTATGCTTGGATTTCGAATGCGACTGACTAGATTTTTTTCTTCTCTGCTTATTTGTCAGTTTAATCTCTCGTTTTACTAATACGAGTGATAACCGGACAGATGAACATTCGTGACAGGTCTTACGCTGGTAATTACTGACTTACTGGTAGGCGCCTTATTGACTACCTTAATTTATTTTATTTACTATTTTATTTCCAGTCAGTTTATTATTTCTTTCCATTTTTAATTTGAATGCTTATTCTACTCGAAAGTAAACGATAGTATCTCAAAATAGTTTTAAATCAGTAGTTAGTTAAGGCATAGTTTCTAATTTTCATCAACCTTATTTAGGTTACTTTTTTCAAGTATTCTATGATAAGTTATAATTACCGAATACTGTTGACGTGTTTGTTTGGAGCTGAATGGTCAATTCTTGTTTCCATACTACATAGTATTAGAGGAAACTATGAGAACGAGTGGCTTTCCCATTCTTTCTGAAAAGATATGGTACAGTTTCTGCTAGATAATTAAATGTTTTCACTTCCTAGTTTTTTCCTCAATATTGTATTTGATAAGACGCCCAAGAACTGGGACTAACGACCAGTTCTTAATTGATTGGACAGTAAGAGACCTAAAATCCAATTTCTTATAATCTGCTACGAAATTTTGTGATGCATAGTTGTGCTATTAGGAGGAGTAAAAGAAAGATGGAATAACAAGAACGACATTAGAACCCCCCATTAGAGCAATTTTGGGACATGGTGACTGAGATCTATAAAAACTGATTATATTTGTCTCGTGGGTCACAACAGGGAAGTTTGCATAAACATGGATTTTAATAGTCAATGATTTTATGGATGCATTTTTATCGTTTAAATCAATTTCGCTATACATTATGAAGCTTCTATGGGCAGATAAGTTTGTTTGGAGGATTGTAATCAAGGAATTCGGATTGTCTTAAACGACGCAGGCCAAGAGTAGGCCTATATATATATATATATATATATATATATATATATATATATATGATAGCAACGACGATGATAAACATCAGTTCTATGGAAGGCTGCAATCAATTATAGAGAAGTGCTCACGAAAGGACCTCACCATCCTGATGGGAGATCTAAATGCTAAAGTTGGAGTGGACAACACACGATATGAAGATATAATTGGACGACATGGATTAGGAGAGAGAAATGAAAATGGGGAGAGACTTGCAAGTCTATGTGGATTCAACAAACTGGTTATAGGCGGCACAATATTCCCACACAAGCGCATACACAAAGCTACATGGATCTCACCAGACCACACCACAGAGAACCAGATAGATCATATTTGTATCAACAAACAATTCCGAAGGACAATAGATGTGAGAATCAGGAGAGGAGCTGACATAGCTTCAGATCACCACCTGGTTGTGGCCAAGATGGGACTGAAGCTAAAGAAAAACTGGAAAACTGCATAAACAACACTACAAAGGTTCAATACAGCCTTCCTTCGAGATACTGACAAGCTCCATGAATTCAAGATAACTCTCAGCAACAGGTTCCAAGCTCTACAGGATCTAATGAAAGAACAAGAAACTACTTCGGAGGACAACTGGAAAGGGATAAAAGAAGCACTAACTTCAACGTGTCAGGAGGTTCTTGGTCCTAAGAAGCATCATCATAAGGAATGGATCTCTATGTGAACCCTGGACAAAATTCAAGAAAAGAAGAACAAGAAACTAGCAATTAACAACAGCCCCACACGAGCAGAGAAAGTCAAAGCACAAGCAGACTACGCTGAAGCAAACAAGGAAGTGAAGAAAAGCATTAAAGCCAACTAACAGAAATACATGGAAGAACTAGCAACGACGGCGGAAAAAGCTGCAAGAGAAGGGAATATGAGACAACTATATGATACAACGAAGAAATCGGCAGGAAGATATAGTAAACAAGAGAGGCCAGTCAAGGACAAAGAAGGAAAGACAACCACTGAGACTCAAGAACAGAGGAAAAGATGGGCAGAATACTTAGAGGAACTGCTGAATAGACCAGCCCCATTGAATCCACCGAACATCGAAGCAGCACACACTGACCTTCCTATAGATGTCACTCCACCAACGATCGAAGAAGTCAAGATAGCCATCAGACAAATCAAAAGTGGGAAGGCGGCAGGACCCGACAATATACCAGCAGAAGCACTGAAGTCAGACATTGAAGTAACTGCAAACATGCTTCACCTTCTATTCAAGAAGATATGGGAAGAAGAACAAGTGCCGACGGACTGGAAAGAAGGATACCTCATCAAGATACCGAAGAAAGGAGATCTGTGCAAATGTGAGAATTACAGAGGCATCAGTTTGTTATCAGTACCAGGAAAAGTTTTCAACAGAGTGCTGCTGAATCGAATGAAAGACGCAGTAGACGCCCAACTTCAAGATCAACAGGCCGGATTCCGTAAGGATAGGTCGTGCACAGACCAGATTGCGACACTACGGATCATCGTTGAACAATCAGTTGGGTGGAACTCATCACTATACGTCAACTTTATTGACTATGAGAAGGCATTTGACAGCGTGGATAGGAGAACATTATGGAAACTTCTTCGACACTATGGAGTTCCTGAAAAGATTGTCAACAGTATCCAAAACTCATACGATGGACTACAGTGCAAAGTCGTGCATGGAGGACAACTGACAGATGCATTTCCAGTAAGGACCGGAGTCAGACAAGGCTGTCTACTCTCCCCATTCCTCTTCCTTCTGGTGATTGACTGGATCATGAAGACTTCGACGGGAAGCACGGAATACAATGGACTTCGCAGATGACCTAGCCCTCCTATCTCATACACACGAACAAATACAGACGAAGAAAACAAATGTAGCAACAGTCTCTGCATCAATAGGTCTCAACATGCACAAAAGAAAAAGCAACATTCTCAAATACAACACGAAGAACACCAACCCAATCACACTTGATGGCGAAACTCTGGAAGAGGTGGAAACATTCAAGTACCTGGGGAGCATCATTGATAAACAAGGAGGATCGGATGCAGATGTAAAGGCGAGGATTGGCAAAGCAAGGGCAGCATTTCTACAATTGAAGAACATATGGAACTCAAAACAACTCTCAACTAATTTCAAAGTGAGAATCTTCAATACGAACGTCAAGATAGTCCTACTGTATGGAGCTGAAACGTGGAGAACTACTACGACCATCATCAGGAAGGTACAAGTATTTATAAACAGTTGTCGACGCAAAATACTCAACATCCACTGGCCGGATACTATCAGCAACAGCGTTTTATGGGAGAGGACAAACCAGCTTCCAACTGAAGAGGAAATTAGGAAAAGACGTTGGAAGTGGATAGGACATACATTAAGGAAATCACCAATGTGCATTACAGGGCAATCCTTAACTTGGAATGCTGAAGGGAAGCGGAAAAGAGGAACGCCAAAGAACACATTACGCCGGGAAATAGAAGCAGATATGAAAAGGATGAATGTTAACTGGAAAGGAAGGCTCAGGGCAGAGTTGGATGATGGATGGATGGCCGTTTCATTCTATTATGGGACTCCTAAGTAGTGCACATCCGCGATCCCGCACTCGCGAGATTCGTATTCGCCTCCTGATTTATACACCATTGGAGGCGTTATCGCGTAACAGTTGTTAGGACGAACAATATACGATGTTTAAGGATAATATCGAATGTCAACCACCACAGTGCTTAAAAAGAATAACAGCTGGAAATAAAATTATGTTATGAGAGTATATATCTATAAGAAGAATAATCAGTAAGAAAGGAACAAATTCTATTTGTTATTGGTTATTTTCTTTACTAAGATACCAGTATTTACTCCTGCTCATTCGACAATTTATTCTTTTGTTGAGTGTTTTTTTATGAGAAGGAATATAATTTCATTGTTTGCTTGTAATTTCTAGTAATTCTGCGAAAGAATTGTCAATTACAACTGTTTTAGTGAATGTCCCGTTATTAATCGTAAATTTCATGTGTTTGATTTTGAATGAGAATAATTACAGTAAAAAATATACATTTTCTTATATATAGTTGAAATCATGAGTCAATTGAAGCTAGACAACCATGAAAAATCTGGAAGTACTGGACAGCCGTTTCGTCCTGTGGTGGGACTCCTTAGCAGTGCGCATCCACGATCCCGCCACTTTCATTGTTTGGATATCGAAATCAAACAACTAAATAGTAATTTTGATTATATGAATGGAACATCAATACAAACGTTAAAAGTTTCAAATAAAATATTGGTCAACTTATTCTAATCAATCATTTGCTTACAATATCAGTTCATATCATTCGAAAAATATACTATAAAGTTTATGCTTATCACTGACCCTAAAAAATGTTCTTTCATAAATTAACTTTGGACTTGAAAAGAAAAACTAATTGCAGCTGAGTCTTATCAGTTAATCTTATATAAACCTTTCAATGTCACTTTTACTTTTAAAACAAAATCATTATCAAATAACTTGAAGTGATATTGTAAAGGTATTCGACTTGAATTCAGAATAGTATATATAGCTGTTTTAGATAGCTAGATTTTTTTAATATGTCATTAAGACAAAGTATCAGTTATTTTTTTCGTTGAAAAGCATAGAAAACGTTTACGGTACTGGGTTAGAGAATTAAGTAATCTTAATGTCTTACGAATAGCGAATGAACAAAAATATTTGTAACAACTAATATCATAAGCTTAATAGATGTTAATGCAATGAGCAGCGATTTATTAATAACGTTAAAATCAATTTTAACAAAGCAGTTTTTCTTTCAATTTGTTTAATAAAACAAGCAATCAATTTTTTCTGTTTATTGTATTTTAAATGACTTTTTTTAAGATTGTAAAGAATAGATATTTCAGTTAGGACCATAGACTAATGTAAGCTCGACAGTCTTATCAAATGTTTATAATTCTTGTTGATCAGCAATGTTATTTGACAATTTGACAAAACATGTTTACCCTCACAAGGTTACAAATTTGATAAAAGTGTACCATTGACTAATACTGTGGTGTGGTCTACTTATGTCCACATAAGTATTATATAGTGATGGTTAGACATATAATGTATTTTGGCGGAAGACCGATAGGGAAAAAACTGAAATAAAGCACAATTGGCAGGAAAATGCATAAACAATAAAATTAGAGAAGATGAACTGATATTTCAAGAGGGAACAGTCAACATTGAAACCATTGATTGTTATTTTGCAAATTAACAGTCTGTTGTATGGCTATCAGAATCTAGTGAGATAGTCTGTAATTTGTACTTAAATACATTCGATTGTCCCCATCCGTGTTTTGTTCATTACAATACTTTTCTGATAAAACGAAATTGAAATAACATATATTGCTTCTTGAAAATGTTTAATAAATTCATTTCGTATTTAAAGTGTTTTGTATTGTTTGCTTGTTTATATCTTACAAACGCACACACACACGAACACTCAAATTCTTTCCTAATTAGCATTGATATGAAGACTGAACTTCCTGTTGTTAAATGTGACATTTATTTCTCGAAAGTGTTCTTTTTTTAATGTAATTCACTTCATTAATATGAACACTATACATATTAAACAAATCATAGAAAGTAATACTAATAATAGCTAATCATTCATAGCGTATAAAAGTTAGTGCATATATTGTGAACAAAATTACCAGATTTCAATAAACAAGTGTATTTCGTTTTGTTAATATCTGTGTAATTTTATGGGATAATTAAATCAATGTCAAGTGGGTTTTCTTTCTAATCATCTATAATCTTATGATATTTACGATATTGAAATATCTACGATGTTCCACAGAAGTTTAATGTATCCAAGTTATTCGCTTAACAGATTTTATCAAACCAATCCCCTAGTTTTTTTTATTAAAGAATATAACTAGTAGAATAATAAGTGTTCGATTAGATTATTTTATTTTGAATAGATCATTTTTACACCCAAAAAAATATAGTTACAGACTGTAAGCAACAATAATATTGGTTTCTAACAAGCAGCAAAAAATTATCACTTAGGTTAAGTATATACATCAATGACTTATGAGTAAGCAGTTATTAAATTATTAGGGACCGGTAATTATCTGTTGCTAATATCAAAGATTACATTTTGAACAGTCTTTGTTATTATATATACATCTACATCCACATTCACAAAGGAAAAAGCAAGATTCTCAAATGCAACACGGAGTACACCAACCCAATCACACTTGATGGCGAAACTCTGGAAGAGGTGGAAACATTCAAGTACCTGGGGAGCATCATTGATAAACAAGGAGGATCGGATGCAGATGTAAAGGCGAGGATTGGCAAAGCAAGGGCAGCATTTCTACAATTGAAGAACATATGGAACTCAAAACAACTCTCAACTAATTTCAAAGTGAGAATCTTCAATACGAACGTCAAGATAGTCCTACTGTATGGAGCTGAAACGTGGAGAACTACTACGACCATCATCAGGAAGGTACAAGTATTTATAAACAGTTGTCGACGCAAAATACTCAACATCCACTGGCCGGATACTATCAGCAACAGCGTTTTATGGGAGAGGACAAACCAGCTTCCAACTGAAGAGGAAATTAGGAAAAGACGTTGGAAGTGGATAGGACATACATTAAGGAAATCACCAATGTGCATTACAGGGCAATCCTTAACTTGGAATGCTGAAGGGAAGCGGAAAAGAGGAACGCCAAAGAACACATTACGCCGGGAAATAGAAGCAGATATGAAAAGGATGAATGTTAACTGGAAAGGAAGGCTCAGGGCAGAGTTGGATGATAAATGCTGGTGTGCGGCCTGAACTCCTCGACGAGGGGTAACAGGCGTAAGTAAGTAACTCGAAACCTATCATGAACAGTGCCTACTCAGTTATCAGCCGGATATCTTATCCAAAAAAGTGGATCGACAATTATCTGTATCATGGGCGAAAATATATAATACAAGTCTAACATTGCTTAATTTAAATAATTTAATTATGAGAAGCATTTCGCTTTACTACTCTGACACTTGTGAAGAAATTGGAATAATATTTCTTACGGTGTCTTTGTAGTTAAAATTTACCATGAATAGATGATCTTCAGCATTTAATTGTCAATAAACAATAATTTAAATTACACATTTAACCCGTGATTAGATTAAGGACAGCTGGTAACACAAAAATAAAAGCATAAAGAAATTAAACTCACTGAATCATTTAATAAACTAGTGAGACGTAAAGTTTTATCTAAGCTTGCGCTTGCAATAATACCATCATGAGCTTCTGGATGAAATGCCAAGTCACGGATCGGTTGTGTATGCAAGTGTACATATTTTATTAATCTTTGTTCAGAACTATTCACCTGATGAAAGATACATTAAAAGTGGTTTGCATTTAAAATGGAATAAATATATAATAATAGTAATAGACTTTCACTGTGTTATAAACGGAGGTGGATTGAGGCTGGTAAAGGAAACTAGGACGAAATGCTCGTCTTGAATTCCATTGATAGACACCAGCCATCTCTGCTTATAATTACTGTAACTTAATGCAGTATCGAGGTAATCCGAACAGGATGCACATATGCCAATAGGAGACTGATCAATCACATTCCTAAACGTCTGTTGGGGAATTCAAACGACCAATACAAAATGAATTCATTGTGTTAGTGTCACGTAGAGAAATAAACTTCATGAGAGAAATTTGTTTTAAAGAGGGCAGAGTATCAAGGCATTAGTTGTATATGTTAATTTATTTTTAGCAGAAACTTATGAATATTAATCGCCTTTTACTAATATTTAGGTCCTCATTGTCAAATTGAACTGAGTTTTTGGGTTCTGAACCTATCCAGCGACCAATTGGGCTGTGTACAAATCAGGTACAGAAAGTGTATCAACAGTATGTCTTAGATTCTACTATTAATTGTACTGATGTCTATAATTAATGGCGTTTTTATGATGATTAAGTTATGTTATAAGTGGAATTTGAGACATTTATCAGGTCTTATTTTGGACATAACTGTATTTGTCAACACTCCAGTGAATTTTAAGTGGAGCATGAACACAAGATTGTCTGCTTTAAACTCTACTATATAAATAATATGGTAAGAGTACTTAATTTGTTAGCTATCCCCGATAAACTCAGTGATCAAATGAAGTTAGGTAATGCACAAAATACAACAAAATGAATAATCTGAAGTGATTACCATGCACTTAACTACACTAACCTTACGTATTCCAAATCCTCGAAATATTGGATTAGTTGAAGACTGTGAAACACACAAGGTATTTAAATAGTCACACGATGCCATAACACGACAATTTCCGCACTGAAATGACAGAAACAACAAAGATTTATGGACAGAAATTATTGATTATTATTTATTTATTTAAACACATAAATATTGGTACAAAGGGCACCAGATATATATGCGCCACACAAATCTCATTTGATTTGTATGAGGGCTGTGATACTGCCCAGGTGCTCAAACTAAAGCAGGTGGTTTTCTTAGGGGACCACACCCGGAACCTTTGACCTAAAGGTCTAACCCACAAGGCAGTGGAGCATCGTAAGGAGATGCAGTTCTATGGTAGCCAGTGACCAACAATTGGTTTATACGCCATTTGGTCCCTCAGGGTATTGAAGCCCATGTGCACCATTGGTTTGGAATCAGGGTTTTCCAACTCCCCTAGGTGAACCTTCAGTGTCGACCAACCAGGTTAAAGTGACGGACATTTGCTTTTCGTCCTCTCAATTTCGTAAACAACAGTAATGCCGCGAGAAGGCAATGAGTAGCACTTCACTGACAGAGGCTGTATACGCGTGGCCATGTGAGAGCATTTCGAGAGGGAAAGCGGACTCTTGCCCACTCTCAGCCGTACCAGGGCATTTGGGGGTAAATAAAATGTAAAAACTAGAAGATTGTGTAGAGAATGTTATGGGTCAACATGAACCAAAGGATAGGTATCTAGTATTACAGATATAAAAATATTTATAAATGGGAAATTACTTTTGTAAGACCATAGAGATGATACACATCGGTCAAAAGAATATTTTCGAACTAAAATTTCTAACTAATGACCACATGGATGAATAATTAATTGTTTTTAGAATAACTAACACGTAAGCTTCTTTAACTAACCATTTTGGAGAAAGTTAATGTCACGGCTTGATATTAGTTAGACAACAACTGAGAATCAAAGAGAACCAGATTCTTTAAACAAGCGAATTGAATAATTTTTTACCAAATAATACTTAACGACTACTTATACGGTTGATCATTTAGTACGGAAAAGCTAAGATTCTTGGTAGATGGCGGTGAAAACTATAACTTAAATAGATATATACTACATGCTGGCATAAATAAACAGGAAACAGTAATTGGCAAAATAAATATATTTAGTTAATCAGAATTCAAGATGTAAATAATAACACTAACTATTTGGAATGAATGGTTAGGTGAAAACTAAAAAAAACCCAGATAACTAAAAAAAGTTCTCGAGACCTGAGCTGGAAAAAAGTGATGCAGAAATAATCAGAAATTATATGGAATTTTATATGTAACAGATTGAAAAGAAGTAAAAATCCTTTAATAAAAGTTACATATTCTAACACCCGACCGGTGCTGCTACCTTGACGTGGTGGTCGGGCTTGCCTATCGTGATGATCCAGTCGAGCTATGCTGGCTGGAACAATCGTTCCTCAAGGTCCTACCATGCCAGACAGGTCGGTTGAAGAGCGGTGAGACTAAAAGCAGCAATCCCAAGGTCCGAAGGTGAAGTCGTACTGCTGACTGTACAGAGGTGTGAAAGCAGTAAGGTGTTTCCTTCAGACAACCAGCATGACAGTGATGCTGCCTTCCCACAAGGAGGGGTGGGGTTAGAAAAGGTCGATCCTAAAAATGCACACCTCGCCTTATCCCACGGATTTCCGTCTCCGGCGGTAAGGACTTTTGAAGAACGGAGCTAACACGTCAAAAATCCCCCACAAAAAGGCCGTGCGTGACCGGCCTCAAGCAGATGTCCCTTGGGCACTGCGGTCACGCTCCCAGGTCGTTAAGACCAACACTAATCCAACTTCTTTTTCAGGTCCCTCAAGAAATACCCTTCCACGGTATGGGCAGCCGGGAAGTGATACTAGCCCTCATACCCTTAACTGCACACAAGACCAAGTTGGTCGCTTTCAAATCCTTCCTACACCTAATAACTCTGTTATCTCCACGACTAACCCTTCTCACGTCCTTTTATCACCTCGCACCGCTAGGGCAAACGATTCGAGTACACAGAACGTTATTCCTGGTCTCCTGAAACCACGCTCTAAACTACATATAGGAACTTTTAATGTCCGAACACTGTGCCAAATAGGACAACAGGCTTCCTTAGCTAGGACTCTGGAATCTTACACCATCGATGTGTGCTGCGTCTCCGAAACGCGCATACAAGATCCGAGTAGTGTCATTCATTTAACCACACCTAATCAAAATAAAGTTTCATCTCGATACACGCTTCGTGTATCTGGAAGCCCTGATGCTGCTTCCCGTGGCCTCGCTGGAGTAGGTATAGCATTAAGTCCTAGGGCAGAACTAGCTCTTTTAGACTGGATCCCAGTAGACAGTCGTCTATGCGCTGTCCGACTAAACGGATCAGTAAGGACCCGGAAAGATAGGGAAACTCGTCGTTGCCTCTTCGTCGTCTCCGCCTACTCTCCCACTGACTGCAGCTCAGACGATATAAAAGATGAGTTCTACAGGAAACTTTCTGACCTTCTCCGAGAAGCTAGGCGTTCTGATGTAGTAATAGTAGCAGGTGACTTTAATGCTCAAGTAGGTAAACTAAGTGAAAATGAAAGACACCTGGGTGGATCTTATGGTGTCATGGCGAAAAGAACAGATAATGGCGACCGTCTGTTGCAGCTATGCTCAGATAACCGCCTATTTCTTGCAAATACTAACTTTAAGCATAAGGAAAAACATCTTTTGACATGGCGACCCTCGAATTCGTCCCAACGTTGGACCCAATTAAATCACATCGCTATCAGCCACCGATGGAGGGGCTCGATAGAAGACTGTCGCTCATTCTGGGGCACATGTTTAGATTCAGATCATGCTCTAGTGCGAGCACGTATCTGTCTGCGTCTTACTGGTCGTAGGAAAGACACTGCAGGGAAGCCTCTAAGGGTTCTACTTAATGATAGGCAAGCTAAGAATATATTTCAGGAACAACTAGGAAAACAGTTAGGCAGCCATGTAAGTTGTGTCCACCCCGAGGCAGCGTGGAATGACATCCGAAAAGCTGTGGAAACAGCAGTGATATCCGCTAGTAAGGTAAACCATAACGTTAGGGAGAAACAATGGATCTCGGCAGCATCTACCGCACTGATAGATGCTCGTAAACTCATCCCACCTGGCTCTGAGCATAACGAAGAGCGGAGTCAACTTAGGCGCCGGCTTGTAAGAAGCCTACGTAATGATCGTGAACAGTGGTGGGTAGCGAAAGCAAGAGAGATGGAAAAGGCAGCGGCAATAGGTAACAGTAGGCAGCTATTCAGACTCGTTAAAGAAACCGGTATTAGGAACCCGAATATCAGTGAAACCATCTCAGATAAAGATGGGCATATTATTCATTCTCAATCCAGGAGATTGGATCGATGGGCAGAACACTTTAGGGATCAGTTAAACTGGCCTTCAGCCACACTTCAATTACCCACGATCCCCAGTCGTCCTGAATGGCAAATTGATGTAAGTCCTCCAACCCTCTGTGAGGTTGAAAAAGCTATAGGAAATCTGAAGCGAGGGAGAGCAGCAGGCCCTGACAGGTTGACCCCTGAGATTTTTAAGGATGGTGGTCCAGTACTAGCAGTGAGATTGACTGAGGTCTTAGGTAGAATCTGGGAACTGGACGTAATTCCATCTGACTGGTCCCAATCACTGATTGTGCCAGTCTATAAGAAAGGACAAAAGTCCTCTTGTGACAATCACAGAGGGATCAGTTTGACTAATATAGTGTCTAAAATATTAGCTTCAATAATACTAGGTCGCCTAACCAAAGCTCGTGAAGAGCAGACTAGAGAAAACCAGTCTGGTTTTCGACCTGGACGTGGTTGCATAGACCAGATATTCACCCTACGTCAGGTTCTAGAACATAGACACAAATTCAGACGTCCCACAATAGTAGTATTTCTTGACCTTAAGGCGGCATTTGACTCCGTTGATCGTGAGGTTCTATGGCAATGTTTGTCACTGAAAGGAGTACCAAAAATGTACATTAACCTCATAAAGGCTCTCTACTCGAGCACAACTGGTCGAGTTAGAGCCTATGGCGAACTGTCATCAGAACTGATTACCACAAGTGGCGTTCGTCAGGGCTGTCCACTCTCGCCATTCTTGTTTAAATTTGTCATTGACATACTTTTAGAGATAGCACTTTCATCAGCTAAACCTCCAGGAGTTGAACTTTTACCGGGAGATTCACTTGTTGACTTAGAATACGCCGACGACATAGTTTTACTCGGTGAAGACGCTGACAACATGCAGAGTCTTCTGACCACTATAAGCAACAATGCAGGCATGTTCGGGATGCGATTCTCTCCCTCGAAGTGCAAAATGTTACTTCAGGATTGGGTTGCAGCGACACCTGAACTAATGATAGGGAGTGAAGTAGTTGAGCGTGTAGACCACTTCACTTATCTTGGGAGTCTCATCAGCCCTTGTGGTCTGGTATGTGACGAAATCTCAACACGGATACAGAAGGCTCGTCTAGCTTTCGCCAACTTGCGTCATTTATGGCGTAGGCGAGATATCCGTCTTGCAACCAAAGGAAGGGTTTACTGTGCAGCAGTTCGCTCCGTCCTACTTTATGGCAGTGAAACATGGCCAATAAGAGTAGAGGATATTCGAAGGCTACTAGTGTTCGATCATAGGTGTCTTCGAAGCATTGCTCGTATATCCTGGGACCACCGGGTAAGTAATGCAGTTGTTAGGAAACGAGTACTAGGTAGGGATGGCAAATCGATTGATGATGTAGTGAAACTTTATCAGTTGAGATGGCTGGGACATGTGTTACGTATGCCCGACCACCGACTGCCCCGACGTGCAATGTTTCATGGTGTAGGAGTAGGTTGGAAGAAAGCTAGGGGCGGCCAGACCAAAACGTGGCACAAATCAATGAAGTCACTGACAAGTGGACTGGGCCATGTTGGTAGGTGTAGACTACCTGGTTGGGATTCGCGAGATGACAGCAACCGATGGTTAGAGACCTTGAATGACATGGCTCAAAATCGTTTGCAATGGCGAAGATGCATCCACTCTTTGTGTTCTACCAAATTCTAATCTTCTGAATTCCTCATGTTTTTATCTTTTTCTCTTTCCAAATTTATTTCACTGTACTATACTCCTTCAATAATTTCTTCAAACCCTAATCTTTTGGATTTCTGATTATACTCCTACTACGTCTACCACTATGGGATTCGAATCGACAACTGCATCTCTGTGCTAATGTGGTATGGCAACTCGAACTTATGTACGTACGTACGAAGTTCTACGTTGTGACTGACTGACTGACTGACATATTCTAACAAAGTGAAAGACCTCCATTTTAAGCGACCTGGACATCCAGTAATCTCTAAGTGTTTGCAATAGAACTACATGTCTGGATGTTGCGACTATGACAAAATATCAATATATTTATAATGTAAGACTATTAGGTACGTTATCACCTTGAAGATAATAAGAAAGGATAATTCGACGTGAGATATTTGCGTCAATAGAATATAGATGTTCAGACAACATATAAACTCAATAGTTAAGATTTTCCATGACCAATTTTTATACACATTTGTTTTTAAAATAATGAATAAATGCTGATACGCTTAAAAATTATAACGTCACTCAATAGTTGTTTAGATTAGTATAAGTATATTATTACAGCAGAATGAACTGAAACTACATAAAAAATAACATTACATATCGAAATAACTTACAACTGAGATCAGTAAAGTGTTTACTAGTGTATACTGACCGTCAAAACCAGTTGAACCATCTGAGCTAAAAGATATTACGGGAAGGGAAATAGAATTGCTTTTTAACATTTTAAGAAAATTAGGATACGTTTATGTAAAGTTAATTAAGAAAAAGAGCTAGTGGAGGTTAGATAAATATATGAAACTGGTCAGTGAAGTCATTGACATTTGGTTACAATTGTGTGAAGTATTTATTTTGTTACTTTGCTTAAATACTGAGTTTTACTACTACATTCGTACTTTTTATTTCCTATTCTCGTCTTGTTCCCTAATTAGATTCCTTGTTTATCCTTTCCATACTTTTAGTACCATTTTAACTCCCATAGTTCACACTGCGTTAATTCATTTTAAGTGTGTCGCTGTGAAATGAGACAAATTGGACCAATGCATATTTTTGTTAGGTGCTTCGTTGTTTATAATTGCTTGGGTGATACCCAATTAGTTTCGGGTATCAGTTCGGTATAGAAAATAATTTAGACCGACTTTCTTTAAATTTCGCAACTTCCAGTGATAAGGTACTTTTAAAAGATTAGGTGAATGAATACATTTTACCTTTTATATGGAAAAATACAAATATAAAAACCGAACGAAGTGCAAACTGTGAAACTGAGATTACTCAAGCACAAGTAATATATCTGCTAAAATTGAGGGAATAAACAAAGCAAATGCAGTGGCGAGGCAACTCAAAACAATAATTCACAGGATCATGCGGCGGAACATTGTGGTCAAAACATGAACTATGGGCAGACTATAACTTATGTGCAAACCAATCAGATTCAAGATAACAGGTCTTGGGTTTCGGCGCGAATTTCATTCATCTATTTGGCATCGCCAGTGTAAGTTCGTGATAAAAACCCTAACGTCCAAATGTAAATCTTAGTCCTGATTCCTTACGCTAATTTATCACCCATCAAGTGCGTAGACACCCAAGGTCAACGTAGCGTTGCTCAAAGATTATCCATAAATTATTGTCTAACCGAGACCATAAAGTGACAAGATTATCTGAGCCTAAAAACGCACTAGAAGACAATGGTCAAATTAAGATAATAGGTTCAATAATTCAAGAATTCCGGACTAAATCGACTTGCCTTGACGATTTATAATTTGAGATTTCACTAGTATTTTGCAAAAGAGATGACTGAACCTTGGGAAGTCCCTTGGTAGTCTGAAGCTCATCGCGAAGTTGAAGTACCTCTGCATGGAGAAGATCACATCTTGCTTTAAATTCTGCAGCCTCCTGTTCTGCTTTCTGTCGCCCTCGCTTTTCACGCTCAAGTTCAGCCAAGGCTCTGTCTCGGTCAGTTGTATCCAAAACCTGAAATTTTTAAAATTCATTTGATTATTAAAACGTTGATAATGCATAGGTGTGAAACGTGAATATTCAGAACTGCGATTGACAACTAAACGCAAAACGTCTAGGAGTAAGTAGGCAATGCCGTAAGCCTCAGAAATTTCTGTTACTTTTAGATACTCAAAATTATTTAAAGTATTAACGATAAGTTAGATCAGCAACAGTGTATATCAATTAAGTGAATTAACACTGTTAATCGACAAGACAATAGTTACGTTAAAGTACCATAAAATGTTAAACGATGGAGATTCAAGGTAACAAACAAAATGTTGTTTAGCCTACGCATACACCTGTTAAGGACAGTATAAGAAAAGTTAGATCATAAAATATAGGGGGTAAAACTGAGTTAGTTTTTAAGGACACTAATAAATGCTATGGTTTCTAAGAAGGCTTAGTCGAGGTAAATAAAATCTGCTCTTGACGCAATGTCAGAATTCAGAGGACTGTTGTTGTTATATCTTCACGGAGAACAAATGAATGGCAACTGCTAGGAATTATTTATGGACTAATATTACATAAATTCCTATTGGATAACTAAGTAACTATGTATATATATCTAATAAGCTTCCATTTGACCTATTTACTACTATTATACGATTTAGTATTCTCAAATCATTCCCAATTTACTAGTCACAATCTGTCATACAAACATTTGGCTTGATCTTGTATAGTTGTTACTTTCTATTTTATGGTATGGTGCCGTCTAATTTGCTTGTATATACACTAAGTATGTCTGAAATACACGATTCATACAATGGAAGCTGAGATTGTGTTCTAGACGCAAACGGACAGGGCTAGGCGAGAAGAATCAATGCGGACTCTGAGTTGACTCTAAGCTTCTCGTAATGATTAACGCGTCATTGGTTTGGCAGTGTCGAATTCACATAAGTCTGTGTTCTAATTGACGATTAAGGCACGTGATAATTGACAGAGCAAAAATATAGCGAATATGTTAATCTGTTAATATGTTAATCTAGCGAATATGCTAATGTTATGTTAAAATCCTCTTGTTCGAAACCTTGATGACAGGATAATGGTGACTACCTACGACAAACCAGGTATTTTGAGGCAATTAAGCAGTGGTTAAAGGACAGAAATTACCCAAAAGATAAAATTTTGGTGTCAGATGATTGACAGTAGACCATGAGTTATATCAAGGGATATCGGATAGATTTCACTCACCTTTAAGTTTTTACAGTAAAGTACTCGGATGTCACGTCGATTGGCTTTCGCATTGCATTGAGGGCACTTAGCTTTCTTCCCAACAGACTTGAACCATTTCATGACACACCTACAAATTAAAAATCAAAATAAATTGGTTTGACATACGAATAGCCGAAAAGATGTCCACAACGAAGACAGCAGACTTTGTGTGGTCCTGACGAAGTCCATAATTCAAAACATATAGGACATGTCTAACGAGAACTGAGCTACGGAGATGTGGCCTACCTCAGTGTCCTCATCGAATGAGTCGTTGTTACACTCGATATTTTCTTTAGCTTTTTCAAGTTTAAATTGACCAGTAAATTCACTCTCTGACTCATCCTAAAAGGATTCGGACTTTATGGTTAGCTGAGATACCTGTTCATCAGAAGAATCATCCGTTGAGTCAGAAAGAGTAATCTATAGGAAGGTAACCACAAACGGAACAAGGCTAATGTGTACCTCGATAACTTCGCTCATTAGTTGGAATCAGAAGAGCGATTCTCTAACATTGCGCCATTATTGTACAAGGTCAGCAAGGTTACGTCGATAAAGTTAAACCCTGACAACTAATAGTAAAAGGAGCAGCTATGAAAAGTTTATGAACACAGAAGAAAAATTTTATATTTATAGATACACTCCGTTCAAATAAATGATAAAAATTAAAAGAAATACACAGTTAACAACCTTTTAATGTTCTTGCGTTTAATACTGTGTCACGCGTATATGGGTTATTCGGGTTGTTGAGCATAAAATTTAGTTTATTTATTGGATCAGTATCTGCGCCTGTTTTGGCCTTGTAAGCGATTCTTTTACAGCCTGTTCACCACTTGTCATCCTTCACCAAGTTGAGTTGATACGCTCACCATAACCACTTCGCACCATTCTTGTTGTTGTCTGTTTAAGGTGATGAATACGCGAAATACAAATATATCCAAAATCGAGTTTCGTGTTTGCCTTATTTTATTCCGTTATTCATTAACATGAGCTTGGTCGACAATTATATACATGCAACAGGGTTTATATATTTTTAAAAAATCATCATACAATCAAATTGGAGTCGGATTTCTGGCCACGGTAGAGTATAGACGACCTGGTGATGATCAACTAATGAACCAAAACATTTTAAACACATCATTGAATCAAAAAGAATGATGACGATACTTCTAAGGAAATCTCGAAATCCACTGAAACACATATCTAAGTTTGTCCCTGGTGCGAATAATAAAGAAAATACTTGGAAGCTGTTGGTGCTAAGTAGCGGTTTGGAGATTAGACTGTAATTATAGAAAACGGGAATGGATTTTATAGCCATGATAAAATGTCACATCTTCTGTCTCAATGACAGTTTACATGTTTGTGTTTCATATGTCTTTAAATGTAATAACTGTATAGTATGCAGCTTGTAGAGGCAGTTAACTTTCTTCAAGTTCGATTCCGAGATTTTCCACTAAACTACGCTCGCTTAGCATACCGGTTGTTGTTCACGAAGTGAACGGTAACGTCCGATTAGAGTCAAAAATATATTTAACTGACACGTAAAGTATCGCGAACCACAATGAAATTATCGTGAGTGGTCAGTGTTGCTACATAGCACGTCACGAATTTATGACCATTTATATCCTCGAAAGCATGCCGACTAGCGCTCTGAAAACTGAGACTGGAGAAGAAAGAATAAGACCACATGAGGGACTCGATGATAATTCATCGGTTGAATAACCTATGAACTTTCTCATTGCACTTAGCCCCTAAAACTACAAGAAAATATGTGATACTGGCCGGATGTGTCGACAACATAACTTAAGCAAAACTCCTGACGATTACTCTTGACCTCATGTTCAGTTAACAATATTCTTGAGGGATATAACCGTTATTTCGAAATTCAGCTCAGCAGATACGTGTTATCAAGTAAATTGGTCTGACGACGATACCCTTAGAACAACCAAAACAACTATTTTCAGTTGTTACGAATTTCGCTTATGTATTTCGTACTGGAAGATGCCGCGCAAACTTGTAAGTTTTTCATCAACAACCTCTTCAAAGGTTGCAATTCTTGGAATACAAACGTTAAAAACTGTCTTTTGGCAAGTGTAGATAGAAACGAGCACCTTCGGCATTCGGACTATGCCTTAAGTTGTTTCGAAAAACTCAAAATCGTTGTGGACATACAGAAGTATCAAGTCAGATACATTTCTTTAAACTTCTTTGGAAATATTATTAGTGCCAATAGTATTTCCCCACTGAAAACAATGTGACAGCTATTCAGAGTCAACTAATATAGAACAACCATCACCATTCAGTGAACTGACAATTTTGTAAGGTAGATGAATATTCAATCATAGATTAACGAGTCGGCTCTATCTGAACGTAAAGGCAATATTAAAGGGTAATAAAAGGCAATAAAAAGGGGAATATTCAGGTCAACAATGTTTACGTACTGAGATATTTTGTAAACGCACCTATGAATAAAACCTAGGAAGCACTGACATTCTACTAGGGACGATTTCAGATTGTTGAATCGAGCTGTAGTACTTTCATCAGGGATTTGACAGCTCATCATCTAATAAGTGCTCTTTTAGAGCCCTGCTCACTGGATATACTTTCCATCGCACATCAGGTACATGACATACTTCCGGGGCAATTAATGTAAAAACATATGCATTGTCTTGAATAAATTATTTAGTTAGTTCCCAAGGTACGGACCTTATAGATCTAACCGGACCTCCAGGTTACATGTCAACTTCTTGCATTAGTTACCGTTAGAAGCCTCCGAACTATAACTAAACAGATTGGAAGAAGTGAAGAAACCTTAGTATGTGGCATGTTTTTCAACAGGGATCTCTCAACTGTGCCAAAAAATTGACGTCCTAACGTTCTCAAAGATTTGCGGAAACAATATATCTCAGGTACGCGAGCAACAATCAAGCTCATTACGTATGTTAGTGTTTACTAATCTCTAGTCTTATGATGATCCTTGTGTAATGTTTATTATAAGTAAAGGCCTGAACTTGGAATTTAATTCTATGCAATGTCGCAGTGATGCTATCGGCCTCTCATGCTCACCTGGGCAAGCAAACTGTGACAGCAATGCATCGCATTTTAGCTAAAGGGTGTTGTGTGAAGGTACACTAACACAATAAAACTAAACAGCACGGCTTTGCAAGTATTTTATGCAAGATAGTCCCTCAGAGACAAGGGAGCTTGTTTGCCCCAAGACTAATAATCTGGCATCCATATTGAGTGTCAACAAAACCATTCATCATGGGGAATTACTCAAAACTATAGCTTTTACCTCTCTAATAAGATAATGAAAACCCTTGGAAATTAGAAGAAGTTTAAACTTTGATAGTCTCTCTGTTTCGGCGCTTTAAATTTCTCTTCCTATCAACATCCTACAACCGCCAAAGCATAATGTGTCTTGAGGTTTTGTAGTGGTTTTGTTTCTCAAACAAACGATCTTCGAAGGTGAGAGTATAATTAAAGAGATTTACATCTAACGTGCAACACTAGGAGAAGGTCAAGAATAGTGAATGCGGGAACGATGAATCGAAACGACATGTCTGGATTATTCATGTGTTGTCGCTATGACCTGTTGCTTTCTGTATCAAATATATTACTCTCTGCCCGGCTCAAATGTGCTCTTCAGAAATGCTAAACTTCGTATATTTGATTGTTACGACGCGACGAATCAGAATAGAGAATGATATGATCTCCATGTAACGTCTTATAAATTTGGTAGTCACATCGTAACAAACCTTTTATACCGGACTATACAAGGTCATCTGGAAAGACTGCGTTGTTCCGTCTCCTAAGGAAGGATATAACTCTATTAAGACACGCTCACAGGAGAATAATGAAGGTGGTTCCTGGACCAAAATATAAACCCTACCAATGTCGAGGGGTGGCACCAATCTCGTAATTTGTGGTGCGCAGATGGATTAAACAGGATATGACCATCATGTGCCATGATGCTCACAATGCATATTATTTTGATAAAGCCACCATAAAATGTATTACTTATCTACATCTAGCAGACACAAAGTAAGGATAAAACATGAAAGAACTAGCCTGAAAATTAGTGCAAACATTTTCTTTGTGCAAATTAGCAATTTATGTAAGTTCCTACTAGAAGTGATCATGAATTAACCTTTCGTCCTATCTTTTGGTGGAGTGCATGAGGTTTGCTATGACTTCACCAGAACTAAAAATACGTCACTGTAGATAATGTTCCTCAATCATGGAGCAAACTCACAATGTTTGTAACCCGTTTTGTGACACAAAGCTATGCAACATTATCATACCTAGCCAGAGTGTAGGTCATTGATATATGATCAAGGAAATATGTGACTGAATGATTTGATCCTCATATTTGTGGATGAAGACTATGATTCGAAAGTGGGATTTTTAATTAAGCGTTCTGAATTCGCCGTATAAATAGTGATCAGAAGCTCTAGTCTCAATGCGGTTGTATATACGTGTACAAGTTATGTCAATAATCCATTGTATTCACTATCTATATCTAGTTTAAACGCACATTTGTTATATACTAGGGAAAAAGTAAGTACGGACAACTTACGGGACCTTTTATTAGACTATTATTCTATTTATATTCCTATTGTATAACTATCCAGTAACTAGATTATCTATATCTATATTAATCTTATTCCAAGCTTCATTTTGACCTATTGATTATTATTATATGATTTACTGTTCCTAAATTATACTCGGTTTATTGAATAGTCTCCCACGTTTACAGCCTCATTTGGCTTGATTTTGTGCAAATATTATTTTCTATTTCATGGTGTGGTCTGCCTGTTTGGTATATAGACAAAGTATGTTTGAAATAAACGATTCGCATTACAGCAGCTGCTATTGGTGTTTTGGACTCAAATGGACGAGTTAGGCGGATAAGGACCAATAAGGACGCTAGCTTACTCATATTAATCGAATGTCACAGTCACAGTGTGAAAGTCGTAGAAGGCGTATTCTATTGGTGGATAATTTGCGCGAATTACGTCCTTGTTAAATTCGTAAGGTCATAACAAATCAGCGACGACTTTGATCAATTCATAACAATTGGCTACATCCTAGGTCAAAAACATAACACATTTACAATCGATTTCATGACGATTTGGCCTTGGTCATTTGATCAAGTCAAGACGCTGAGTTCTTCTGAATGGAATAAGAAGTTTTTGAGTCACTCCCAGTCAATGATTACATCAATATACAAAATTTGTGAAGGATTTGGGTGGTACTATTATGTAGGAAAGTTCTATCGAAAAATGAAAAATAACTTATATATTTTTCTTGACCATCATGAAGTCAAGATATTGCTGAAGAATAGCGCACTATATGGTAAAAAAGTGGTTAGTGAATACAACTATTAACTACCTTATAATAAATAAAAGTGTTTAACTAAACTGGACTTAATTACCATCTGTAAGAATGCAAGCAAACCACAAACGTTTCCAGCAAGAAGTCTGAGAGCAGCAATAATTAACAACTTCACAATATGTCCATTAGCTGAGCCAATCAGGACCTTATTGTCAACACAA